TTATGGCTGGTGAATTCCTTCCCTGTTTTCAGGCGAGTTCTTTCGGGCCCGGCTCCAGAACAGAAAAGCAAGAAGCCTCGGGAGGCGACGCCTCAGCTGGTTCGCCGCTCATTGATGAGACGCGCTTGTGGGTGCCTGGGCGCAAATTCCGTGGATCGAAGTATCCTTGCCAGGTGGATGACCAGGCCCAAGCAAAGGAAGCGGTCTCTTCACTCTTTTGCCCAGATTCCGCCCCCTTTTTTCCACTTTTTTGGGGGGAATGTCTTTTTGGTTAATTATTATTATTTTGTTCCTTTAAACTCAACCAACCAACAAGGATGCCGATCTTGTTTTTCCCCATGGCCACCGGGCGTCTGAGACTGGATATGTCGCGTTTCTCAAAATACGAGTTGGTCCCAAACATTATGGTTGCTGTCCTTTTCTTTCCCTTTCAACAACCCAAAGGAGGTTTACTTTTTCGCCTCAAGAAACATCATGGGTTGCGTTCCCTTTCAGTGTCCGAATCCATGTGTCGACAGCCTTCTATTGGGTGAGTCCCCATTCTCTTCACCCATCGTTCTCTTTAAAAGCCACTCATTTCCTAGCGTTGTGCATTTTTTGAAGAGAAGGATCTTTGAAGAGAACGGACATGGAAGGTAGCACTCCCATCGCCTCAAAAAAAACAACAGTTTTAGGCTGCTTTCCCCAAAATTTCAGGGTCCGGATCCATGTCACAGCACTGAGGTGGCCACTGAAGTGCTTAAGGCGGAGCCCTTTTCCCTGTCGCTGCCGGACCTCGTGAACTTCTATGCCGCTCGATTCAAGCGCAGCCTCCGAAGTCCCATGGATGTCTCGCTCGTTTCTGTGTGAGACCCCCGCTCATTTCTGTGTGGTTCCTCTTGGTGTTACTTTAAATCCAACGAAAGGGGTACCTCCCAAAAAACGCTAGCCATTTGGATTTGTGCCGTTATTTGAGGCCCTGTTTTCTTCCATTCGCTTAAGAATATGTTGCTTTTACCAACCCCTGTTTGTTTACAATGGAATCTGTCACTAGTGGATGCCCTTTTTATGCCAGGGGGCTTAAGCAAATGGAGGGTGTGCTTGGTGTTCAAGGTAAATAATGGTGAACCAATCGGAAGCCACCCATTTTGGGGATCCTTGTATTTTTGTTTGCGAGGTTCCATGGGAGAGTTGGGAAGGTGAAGGACATTCACGCCCCTTATCAGGAGTTCCTGTATTTTACGTCCTTCACGCCCCATTTGCGGGTTGAAAGTTTCTTTTGCTGATTAGCATGGTTCCTTGCGATATTGCGATGTAGAAGGGAAATACCATGAAATACTCACCCGGAACCCACGAAGGCCCCTTTGCAAAGGAATAGCTCGAGCCCTCTGCTTCTCGAAGCACATCGATTCGGCCGGCCGCTCCCTTTTCTCTAGGGAATCTCCGCTCAACAAATACGAAGCTGAATCAGAACAATAATATGGGTGTCAAAATAGGTGCCCAAACCCTGAATGAAACAGTAGACTCAAGCCTGCGGTCTTCTGCTCTTAAATGTTCGGCCACACCCATATGGCCATGGGTCAAAATCCCGTAATTGCAGTGAACATCCCAATCCAACCACTAAAAAGACTAATCAAAATGAGTGGTGCACCCACCCAAAATGGGATCCCATTGGTTTTGAGCCCCAGCCATATCACTTTCTGTGCACCCGGGAGGCCCCGAAGTTTCCCTTGTGAAGATTTCGTGTTGGATGCCTGCGAGCTGATGTGCTTGGCTCGACAAAGGCTAGGTCCCCCAGCTAAGGGCCCCTTCTCACCCATTTCTTTTTGGGGGGAGGGGAAACCCCCTACTAAAATAGACTACAGAAAAAGGGTACCCCTATTGTAACCTCTCTACTGGAGGACCTAGAAGGCGAGCGATTCATCAGAATCGAGCTCAGGACAGATCCTGGGGCTCTCAATTCAGATTAGCGAGAAATGGTTTCGTTGCACATTCCAAATGACTTCAAATTAGCAGGAGTTCCTCTGTACTCCCAACAAGCTTTTTTTCTTGCACATCGGGGATTCCAAACTTGGTGTTGAAGCTTGGCGCCACTCTTGCTTGCATTTTTTCCATATAAACCGTATCGAGAGATCTGCCGACAAAGGCAAGGCACATTGCTCTGTTTCTGTTGTCTTCACTGTTTCTTTGTACCCGTTTCTGTGCCCGAAAATTTGTCCCTTCAAGGCCTGGCTAGAAACAATGAGAGATTCTTTCTTGCACCGCAGTTGTCTCACCGCTGTCTCGCCTCTGGCTTCCCAAGGCTAAAATGGGGCGCGCAAGCCGCATCTTTGAGCCACCGAAAGGTGAGCACCGAAAGGATCTCTCCATTTTCCTTCAAGGGTTGTGGTGGATCACAAGGGGTTTTTTTCAAACCCTGTGCTACTTTTGGGAAAATCCCCCCTTTTGAGCAAAGTAGCCTTTGGGGTTAGGCCCTTGCTGTTGTATCACAGAAGTGGTCACTCCCTTCCCCACAGCCCTGCTTCAAAGGGACCGAAATTCGCCTCACCACGGCCTCGGAAGCCTCGAGGCTGAGATGATCGCGCAGTTGCACGCCTGGCACAAGGACCTGCAGGCGCGCAATGTGAGGTCGAAGCGTGGAACCAGTCAGCTGAGGTCGGGACCCTCTTTAAGCCACCCCCTGGAACCGTGGAACCAGTCAGCTACAATAGAGGGCACTATGAATGAAGGAGGTGTCACATTACAGTGGACAAATATTCCCGTTGGGATGGATGAAGCTCTATGAATAGTGGACAAACCACTAACCAAGTGGTGCAGCACTCTGTCCATCCACTGTAGGGAAGCAAGTGTTTTTGAGGCTACCCCTTTTTGGTGGTTTACAAGGGACCACACTTTTTGGGGCCCCCCCAATTTGCCCCATTTTAAGACACACCCAATATTTGGAGAACCATGGTGGATGTGTTTGGCCAAATGTGCTCGAAAATCATGGTGAGTTGCTGGATGTTTGCAGATTGCCTTACTCCATCCCCCCTACCTTAAAAATAAAATTGAGGAGGGGGGTTACGTCAATAAAATAGCATGTTTTTGGGCTTAGCCCCCCGAGCTCTGCAAACACACCGCCCTGCAAACAAAAATCCTGGGCGTTCTTCTTGGGCAAAAGCCTCAACGCCCGGGTTTGCTGGGAAGGGGATTTTGGAACGCGAAGTTTTCTCTGGTTAACTTTGGTGGATTTTGCCAAGGGATGTTAGGACTTTAACTTTTTGATCCAACTAATGGGTTTTCCGTATTAAACCACTACGAGTTAAACTTTTAGCAGAGAAGAGCAGAAAGCAACCGAGGTAAATAGAGAGGTGTCCAATGGGGGGTTGTGATCTCTTGGAGGTGAACACCTCCTTCCCCCCCGCCCAAAAACATAAGAGAGGTTTCTTAATCTGGGGTCAACATCCATTTTTCTAGGGGTACCTTCCCCATTCTTTCCAGGGATCCTTCTTTCTAGAAAACCTCCGAAAGCCCAGGGAAAACGGCCGGTTTTTGGAAAGAACGATGCTTGAAAATATTTGAAAATAATGCGGAATCACACCCTAGAATTTTGGGCGGCTCGTTTTGTGGTTGAGGAACCGCCCCGCGCATTTTTCAGCTTCCTCGCACGGACCTTTCCGAGGACGTCCTGCCGGCGAAGCTTCGGGAAGCAGCACTACCAAGCGAAGAGGAGCGAAGAGGGTTTTGGCCAGTGAGGGCCACTAAGGGAGCAAACCGTTCTGAGTCAAGGGCGGGTGGTTTGGACCGTTTGGGCCCCTGCAATGGTCTCATTCCAACCACTAAAATGGACAGGTGATCCTAACTCAATAATTGGGGTTGATCAATATGGGTATGGGTCAAACATTTTCACACCAGGGTACCGCAGGTTTTTGTCCCCTACCAGGGTTCCATTTGGGTACCTATTCTTGACCCACAGCCAGATCGTGCTGGGCAAATGATATGGCAACGTCATGTGAGCCACAATCAAAGCCCGGGTAGATGAAGGTTTAGTAAAGGATGATCTCAATCGTAAATAGCTGCGGCCGCCTTCTTATTTCTTTACATGGTTTTGGGATTACGGCCATTTGAATGCCGGGGTTTGATTCTGACTCATGTTTGGGTTTGCCACCTCACCCATGCTGAAGTTGTCCTTTACAGGGATCCCTTTTTTCGGTTCGGAAATTCAAGGGGCTTCCCTACACAGTTGGCCCAAACTATGCCCTTACAGGAATCTTGGGGCCGGGAATCCAACTTGTGGATGGGGAAGATAGGGCGCCAACATGAAATCAAGTATCCGACCCCCCCCCTTTCCGTTTTTGACATACCCAAATCCTCCTTTAAATCAGCGCTGAATAGCTTTCATGTCCGGATCAGTTCTTCAAACCCCACGATCTCCCTTCACTTCAGGGGTATTGGCACCGTGTTCGCCCTTCGAATCGTTCAATTGGCTGTGACTTGAAGTCCTTCACTCGCAATCTCTCAGGCTGCAAGATCTAGTGGAGCGCTGTGTTCGAGCGATTGATCGTGCGTGCGCTGCGTGTAGAGGTCCAACTGACTTCGTCCGAGCACGGTATGTATCTGCAACCATTGATTGTGGTACCCAACCTTCGCCATTTCACCCAACGAAGTTTTGCCACGCCCCCCCCCTTCCGCACGACAAAAGGCTCCGGGAAGCGGCGTGTTCAAGGAACATGGCGCGCGATGCCATATGCCCGGGCGGAAGGCTCCGGGGCGAACCAATACTCCTTGAGCCCAGGTGCTCTTGTGGAACAAAACCAACGGCACATGAGCATCCACACTGAAACCAGTGCCATGTGTGCTCATCCAAACCGAGTACTTAAGCATGGGAGACGTCCATTTGCTTAAGTTGTCTTTTTGTTTATGGTTTTCCCCCGTGCATTTTAACGGAATCTATCACTACCGTACATATCGTCTCATTTTTCCCGGGGACGTATCCGCAAACGGAAGGATATTGTTGCCTGAGCCGGGTTGATTTGCCTGGGTTGCAGGTCTTTGGACACCGGATTCGGCTCCTTGGGTGGTTCGGTGCTAGGACGTGCACCTGCATTTGTCCCAAGTGGCTGTGGTGGTGGTGGCCAATTGGCTCCAAGAGGCCGCGCTCTTTCTTTTTTTTGCGGAATGGGGCGAGGGTTGGGACCACCAAGCCCAGAAGTCTGGGGGCTAGGGGGGAGGGAGGGGAAGGGAGCCCAAATAAGCCCGTATCAAGCCGCAAATAAGGCATTATTTGGGGGCTTATTGGGGCTCCCTCGCCCCCCCCTCCCTCCCCCCCAACCCCAGAATTCTGGGTGTGTCTTTGTTTGAGTGTAGGCTTTTTTGGCTTGGCTTAAAGGGAAGCACAACGTGCTCAGTACGGAATGACCGAGTCAGGGTGTTGAGAATGAACCCAGAACTTCCCTTAAAGGAAACCAACTCGGGGATGGTTTATATAGGGGTCATTCCCTCATTTCCTGCCTATCGAACCAGCAAGACAAAGGAAACCAACCATCTTGCGGGGCCAAAGCGGAGTCCCCCTTTGAGACAAACCCATGTGAAGCAACATCCCGTGGGCTCGAAGGCTCAGCACATGTTTGGCCCTCGGACCATCGGTATCCACTTAGAAACGGGTGCTCAGCAATACCCCATGGCCCTACGCCATGGCTGGCCATGGCCATGAGCGGGGGAGGAGTAGGAGAAACGCCCGCTCTGCTCGCAGTTTCTTCTTGAAGGCGGTCTTTGTAGCGGCAACCACCATGGACTTTCGTTTGAGTTGGGCGTTTCTTTTCCGAGTCGAACTCCAAGACCTGACGTAAAGGTCTGTGATTGGCGATCCCAGGATGTCAGCCGATTTGCAAGCGACCCGCTCCACTCCCGGGAAACTCATTTGGGGGTGTCCTTTGGCACCCAACCAGAAAGGACGCGGAAGCCAACGGCAGGGGCTTCCCCCCAAAAAATCACATGCCCAAGTGGCGCTCCCAACGGCTGGCGTGATGAAACGGATCTGGATGTTTAACACTGTAATTATGTTAACTTTGGTACATTTTGTTTGGCTGTTAGGACTTTAACTTTTTGCCAACTGATGGGTTTTCCGTATTAAACCACTAAAAGTTGAACTTTTAGCAGGGGAGCAGAAAACAACCGAGTTAAACACTATTCTACGTTTGGATGTTTATTGTTGTAATGTTGTAAATATGAATAATTTATTATCTCTGTCTCCATCACATGCCATTCCTTGTTTGCCTTGCCATTCCTTTGGTTTTTTCATCAAGTGTTCGATATGCACGAATAACATTTAGGGTTCAGGTTGAGCATTGACAAAGGAGTGAAGTTGTTCGAGCAACGGACGGTATCCTGCTGATAGTCATGGCTTATTTGCGGACAGGAGAAGGAACTGAACACCATGCGGATGTGTCCTCCAAACCCACTTGTTGGATAGTTTTGAAGGGACACCTGTACTAAACCAACCCATGTTTCAGTTTGGCTTATTTTTGGACGCACTCATTTGATCATGAGCCTCTGGCTAGTCACCCTTGGGGACACCCGATTCTCAGGCACCATTTCCCCCTCCAACTGTCTCTTTGGGGCGTTACTCTTGCAAACTGGGAGTGCTTCCCAGTCTTCAGTCCTCGCTCCTCTTTGGCCACATTTGGCCGTCTTCGGTCCTCTCTGTTTAGCATGGGGCTAGTACTTGTCTATTTGCTTGTGACTCTGTTTATTTTCCCCTGGTGGTTTTTCAGGGAATCCATCACTGCTGGATTGTTGTTTATTCTTGTCCAGGGAACTTAAGCAAATTTTAGAGTTGGTTTGCAATGACTTAGCGCTGTTTCCTAGCGTTCTAGATTTGTTTTAGTGCTGGTTTGGTAGTAGCCTACTAGGCAGACAGCTCAGGTACTTGGTGAAAGACATGTTCTCTATTCACAACCCTTAAAGATATCTTCTTTGTTTCTGGCCGGACTCTGTGAAACCCCCTTCAAAACTTGGCGATGTGTCTATCCTTACAAACAGGGACTTAAGAGAGTTTGGCTGCTTTGGGCCTCAAGAGGTTGAGCATTTCGCTATGACTTTTAATAGGGAACCCCCTTAAAAGTGGTTGGTGGACAAAAGCCCCCACCGAATTCGGATGTCTACCAAAGGGTCCCATACCCAATTGGATCCAGGAAACTCCGTTGCAAGGATGCTGGCTTCGGGGACCCCATCTCGACAAATGTGGGTGTGTTTTTTCTGCTGCAAAGCGCAGGCCCCATGGCGGCCCCTTCTGGGTTTCTTTGGGGATACCCTCTTGTCGGTGTTCTTTTGAGGAAAGTCGAAGGACAACAACTGTTTTTGTTGTTTTGTGTTCTTTTTGGAGGGGGGTTCCCGAAAGAACCACAAACCGTCGCTGTTGTTTAAGTGTTTAAGGAAAACCGCAGCACAGCTTTTTTTTTTGGGGGGGGGTCCCGTAAGAATGACAAACCATGTGATAATTTGTTCTCGGGATGGACCCTGCGCAAACCCTGAGAAACTTGTTTAGGATGTTGTTTTAGTGAAGGATGTCGTTTAGAATTCGGCTACTTGGCACCCATCAACACTAAGTTTTGCCGGCTTGGTGTCGGTTTGTACTGGCAACTATTGCCTTAGTAATGCTCGTTGGGTGTGGCTCAAAATTCAAGAGTCGGGCGCAGGTTTTGGTCTTTGTTTCCTTAATTTCCAAAGGGCCATTTTGGGGTGCCATTTTTTGAGCCACAGCCTTTTTTAGGCGAAGTCACTCGAATCCCTTGACAGTCATTCGCATCGCGTCGTGATGGGGCAATGAGTCGTCCTCTAGTGGGTTCAGTCATGCGGGTTCATTTTTCACCCTCGTTGTTTACCGTTGAGGATTGTCATCCAAATTGGGGCTGGCCATTCTTTTCTCAAGGGGTTCGGGACCCTATGGTCTTTGTGGGGGTTGATGAAAAGGTCCGATCTACGCGGGATGACCATTGATTCGAAAACCACAAAAAAAGATGCGATATTGTTCAGCCAAATAGGACATGTTACCCATGGTCAAAACTGGGGGCCCATGGAAAACTGAAGAAAGCACCCATAGCCGACCTTTTGACCTTTTGGCTTTCCCTTTTTGGTCCATTTTAAGTAGAGGTCCCAAAAGGTTAACCTTTTATTTCCATCCTTTGGGCAAGTGAGCTTAGGCATTCTACAAATCAAAGGCTCGGATTTTAGTTGGGTCTCACTTTTGTGAGCCCACAACACCTTTTCGGGAGCCCCCCCCCGTCCACTCGTGGCGTGAAAAGCACGCGGCCCCCGGCTCGTGGTCACCAGGCGGACCGCAAAGTTCGGGGCTCCGAGCCGGAGGGCGAGCGGGACTTCGCGCGGGCGCGGCGCCCAGTGGGACAAAAACCGACTGGGCGGGTTCCTCGGCATCCGGTCCTCCAAGGTTTTGTTCGGGGGGTTGTTTCGTGTTTTTGTTTACTTTCTCTTTTCTTCTTACATAAAAAAGTAAATAGCATATTGTTTGTGGTTTCCCCTTTTTTTTAAAAAAAATATTTTTTGTTTTTTTTTGCTTGGTTTCTCGAAGTTTTTTTGCCCTTCCCGTATCCTTCCAAACGCATCCGGCTCCTCGGGGGGCCACTTTTTGGTGGAGCCGAAAAAAATCCCAGGGGCTCAGCCAAAAAAACCCGAGGAAAAGGAAACAACAACAACAACAACAACAACAACAACAACAACAACAACAACAACAACAACAACAACAACAACAACAACAACAACAACAACAACAACAACAACAACAGCAGCAACAGCAGCAGCAGCAGCAACAACAACAACAACAACAACAAGGCTGTGGGTCAAAAATAGATTTGGTAACCCCAAAATGGACTAAGCCCTGGTAAATGGAAACGTGGGTACTAAAACCTGCGATCCCCTGGTGGTTTAATTTTGACCCATACCCACAACAACAAAAAAACCTGCTTCAACACCCACTTTCTTAGGTGTTTGGAGATGTTTGTTTTCTTGGATGTTGTGGAGATGTCCATCTTATGCCACGAGGTACTCACTTTTAGGGGATCAGAAACCGGACAGCCCCGCAACTTCTTGCATGCTTGCCCTTGACTAAGATGATGAACAACACACATGTGTGTATGCTAGGTTTGCAGTTGAACGTTGACCATTTTTTGAGGAAACACCCAACATATATATATATATAATGATTATCCACCAATATGTTAGACACCTCAAAAGGGTGGCTTTGCTATTGGTTTTTGTTTGCATCTACCACGATATGTGGTTTCTCTCTGGTTTTCCGTTGAAACTCCCAAATTGGGTACTCTCAGAGAACAAAAGCGCGGATCCTTCTCTTCAAACAATTGCCACATGGGTGGTGTCATGGTGGTGTCTGAAGAGAACGATGGGTGAAGAGAAGGGGGAATGAACGGGTAGAACATTGTCGACATGTGAGCCGCTAGCTCTAAACCCTGGTAAGTGAAGTTTAGGGGGGATAGGCCATGACCGGGGTCTCCTCCAACAACATGAGATATGTTGGTTCCTTTTTGTGTTTTGGTTTGAAGGGGAAACCAATGGACAACCCCTCAAATATGCAACATAATCTGTTTTTTTTTGTTTTACCGCAGGTGCGGACCAAGATGAATAGGTGCGGCGCCCTTTACACTCTTCAGAGGGTTTCAGGTGGACTACAAAACAGGCTTTGACTGCGACTCATAATTGTAAAAAATGCCCAATGCCCACCAACAACAAGTCTTCCTGTAGGATTTCCTGCAGCTGGTTTGCTAGAGACACAAACTTGCCCCAACAGTAAGGGCAAATACGTACTGAATGGCCTCATTTTTCAACCATACCCATATCTCACAAGGCAACATTGGTGTGTGTGTGTTTTGATTTTGTTTCGGGGGATTCCTCAAAAAGGTGGTTTCCCAATTTTGGTTTCCCTTTAAATCCGCCAAACCTTCTCCAACAAAAACCGACGCCAGGTCTGGCGACGCTCGGCGGACGGCCTACTGGCAGGCCTATGCCTGCGCCTCAATCGCCGGGCGCCCCAAAAGTGGAAGCCGCGCCAGCGGTTCGACGGGTCGATGAATTCCTGGACTTTACCCTCCCGACTAGCAGCTGTTTGTGCACAGACACCCATAGAAAGACGACTTTCCTCTTGGAATGTGTCTTTTTGCACTTGGAATGTGTCTTTGCGCACTTGGAATGTGTCTTTGCGCACTTCCATAGGTATGAGGGTAAACATTTGGGCGTGGCTCAAAATTAAGCAGGAGGGGCAAACCGCAGGTTTTGGTACCCATGTTTCCACTTACCAGGGCAACCCATTTTGGAATTCCGTTTTTTTCAGCCACAGCCATTTTGGGTTTGGTTGCCATGTTAGTGGCAACAAGACGTTCGGACTTTTGGCCAGTCCACTTCGTGAGACTTGTGGCCTGACCTCTGGGGCCTCTGACCATTTTGGCGAGCTCGTGGGAAGGGTTTCCGTTCCGGAGCTCGGGGGAGCCCAAGTTTGCCAGATGTGGATGAGCTCTGCAACGTCCCCTTGAAATCAGCGACCAAGTAAAAAAGAAAAGAAAAAAAAAAGAACCAAACACCCAGCTGCTTGCCTTTCTCCCTTTCTTTCGGAGGGTGTCCCAAGATCAGCGACCAAATGCCTCGGGGAGCAGAGGGAACCTGGTTTTCCTTTTTGGTTTCCCTTTGAGACTGCCGAGCCTCAAGAGACACCTTTTTCTCATCCTGTGAATTGTAAATTGTGAACGTCGTGCTTCTTTTTTTTCTCCCCGACTTGATCGTAGGCTCCTGATGTTTCACCCGCTTTGCCATCGCTGCCACTGCTCTTGTTCGGTCATTCAGTTGACACGTTTCCCCACGTTATGATCATGAGCTAAGATTTTGTGTGTGTTGAGTCATCGCTCACTCCAAAACATCGAAAATGACCATCAAATGCACATGACGTGACTCAGGGCACTTTTCATTCACAACCAGTTGGGTCAGCTTATTCTTGTTGAGGCATTCTTTCTTTAGAGGTCCGCCTATTTTGCCAGCGAGTCACGCCTGAGTCAATGACGCGCAGACGTTGTAAACTAGACATAAGGAATTGAGGCAGGTTCGTGTGTCTATCGTTTCGAGAGACTGGTGCTACAAATTTCTGGAGTTTGCCCATGGCCTTTGGCAGAACTGTTTCGAGAAGTGAGCGCCCCCTGAAAGCCGAGGTATACTCAGCTTGGGGAAGGGAGTCACTACACAAGCAAACAGACACAGTGCTTCCGTATACTTTACATGGCTTGCTTTTCTTCCGACATTTTGGCAGTAGGGCCGAAGGTAGCCGGGTAAGTATTTTGCGTCCTTGTTTAGACCATCCATGACATTTCGGCTGGTACTTGTGAGCTCCACTTGGCTTGGCAGAACCGGGAGACGGGCAGATATATCCTAATGAAGTTGTTCACCTTTGGTGAATTTTCGGGGGGCGGCAGGTGACTCGGGTGCTTTGATTTCAACGGTCTTTGATGTGGGAGACAGAAGCAAAGCCCATGGGTTGTGACGGGGTGGGAACATGTGCCCTAAAGTGCCTATGTTGTCTACTAAACCCTTGTTTTGAAGGGATACAAAAAAGCATGCCGTTTGTTTTTGCTTGAGCAAACCTAAGCGCGTTGATTCAGTGATTTTTATTTTCCAAGAACAAAAAGAGTTTGCACTCCTCTCGCGTCTGATCCTCACCAAGGTGCAAAGAATCCAGTAGCCCAGCGCTTGCTGGTGGAGGCACGCCGACCGTCATGAGGGAGGTGTCCTTAAAACGGGGGGGCTTTCCGAATTCAGAGAAGTAGCTGTTTGCTCACTTCCTGAGTTCAATAATTTTAAATATTTTTTGGGTTTGGACCATTTTAGTGGTAAATATAAGGTTTGGACTTTTTATGGGGCCATCCCCTCAGCCAGTGAGTTTGTGAGTTTTCCACAAGGCCGGTGTTATCCCTGTTGACCTGCAAGTGGTGGAAAACCTAACCAGGAGGTACCACACTCTCCCCGAATTCGGGCGTGGAAAGTGACAAAGGCAAACCATGGCTGGGGTCTCATTCGCAAGCGTTGAGACTTGGCAGGGGTCTCATTCGGTTGGCTTCCTTTTTAGACCCCCCCAAAAGAACAAAGGTAGCGTCCAACAAAAGGAACCATACCCAACATTCTGAGACCCTCGAGAGACGTTGCACTAGTATCATGCGTAGTTTTACATGAGTCATACTGTGGACGAGCGAAATCCATTTCGCACCACCTTTGAAACCCTGGAATGCTGGTTTTCCTGTAAATACCAGCAAACGTTATGGTTTCAACCGTGGTTTCTTAGGTGGTGCGGTTCCGCATTTTGTTTATTCAGTAGGCCCGACGAAAACCGCGGAGGTTCTGCGGCTGGAGAAGGCATGTCGACTACTCCTAGAGCGAGTGGTGCCACGGCCAAAAGCCGCCGTTCGACTCGTCAGGAGCCACGCCCGGGGAGTTCTCTGTCGCCCAGTGGTACCCTTGTTTCAGCTTGTTTTGGTGGGAGGGGTTCCGATTCCTTCGAAGTCAACCAAAAAAGGATGCCGATTCTTTTTTTCCCATGGAAATCCACTGGGCATCCAGTGCCCAGCCGGAAGATGCCCCAATTGGCGAGGCCACGGGTCAAGTCGTTCAAAGTTCCTGGGAGCATCTTTGTTTGGCGGGTAGGAAGGAACAGTCCGTCCCCTTGCCTGAAATGAGTGCCTTCGCCGCCTTGGTAACCTAGGTCCCCCAGGATGGTGCCCTTTGACCGTTTCTTTTTTGGGGGAGGGTTCCCCTACTAGGCTACAGAAAAAAGGCTCTACTGGAGGACCTAGTAACTCTTTACATGCTTTTGGACAAGAAACAAATGTGTACCAGGTTTTGGGGATGACTCAGACACGCTCAATGAGTGAACCTTCGAGCAATGTGCATGTGCCTTTGAGGTTGACCGGCATGGTTATTGATTTGGTAAGGATACCTAGTATATCCATAATAACTTGATTTGGAGACCTTCTGGAAACCGTGATCACAGGCAGGAGTTTGACCCCTTACATGGCCATGGTGTACCTTTAACTTGGCGGCGCCCGGCGAATCTTCCTTTTAGGTGTTTTAGTTGATTTCGTGGCATTTTTCATTTAACCCACTTAGATGGTCTTGGACATTCCATGCTAAGTGGGTTGCAACCAGGGTTACTAACCACTTAGCTAACTCCCCAACCATCTAAGCACAAGTTAAACCATTTCGCAGATCAGAAACCGGACAGCCCACTTTTGGGGAAAGTCACACCGAGCCTCGGCGAATCGGATGCAGTCGGCCAGGTATACCTGGGACCCGAGACTCAACGAGTCGAAGTGCACAGCAACAGCGGATGAGACCTGACCGACTGTGCGATCGAAAGTGCGACGTGAGGCAAGCCACTGCCTTTTTGTGGTGCTTTTTTGTTGTTGGTCCCTTTGGCCATGTCAGGTTTGCTGATTCCCTTCTTGTGGTGCCCCCCCTTTTTCGTGCTCTTTGTTTTGGAGGGCTTCCCTTTGAAAATGAAGTACAACAGGTGGCCGTGTGTCTCTTATTGCTGGAGGACTAGGGAGTTGTTTGGTTGATCAAAGGGTCCTCTACATGGGATGGCCATTGGGGACACCCAGTAAAAAAAATGATATGTGCCACTTAATGAGACAAGTTACCCAGGGTCATTTTTGGGCCTCGAATGGTGATCAACTCGCATATGTTCCGTTGAAACATCAAAATCAAAACATAGATAGTTTCTTATCAATGTCACGGGAACGGTTGGACCTTCCTATCGTTTCCGGACCTGCTCTGTCAAACATGCGGCTCAAACATCGGGTGCCCCCCAACCCGGTTGCAAAACAGCATGCAGGAAGGACATTAACCTTTCTGGGATCGGCGCTTTCACATGTCAGATGTTGCTGTTTCTTTCCAAAGCAACACTTGGCGTTTTGTGGTCTGGGTCCGAAAAAACGACACACAAAAAACAAAAGCATGAGCCACCAGATTTCTTGGAACAAAGACCCGCGGTTGACGTCTTTTCAGACCGCTGCTGGCTTGGCCACTTGGTGAAACTACGGACTTGCACCCCCAAAACAATAGTGTTCCTTGTGGTTTCCCTCGAAACCAACAAGGTGAAAAGGGTTCCTTGAAAGAGGCGGACACTCATGTGGGTACGCCATTTTATAGTGGACCCTTTGGTTTTCCTCGACCTCAAGAGGGTACCCTTAAAAAGAAAAAGACACAGTTCTATGGGCCAACCTGCATACCCCAGATGGACATACCCCAAGTTTGGTGGTACATGGGTTAAACAGGGTATGCATAAAGGGTACCCCAAAATGCATCCCTAAGGCCCTTTTGGTGTGGTATGTCCATTTGAGCCACAATCAAAACCCGGGTACATGAAGCTTAGGGGCAGTCCCAGCCAGAAACAGTTGCGGCATTCCGCCTTAGTTCTTGAAGCATGGTTCTGGGTAGACCGACCATAGCAGCCGGGTTTTGAGCAAGTGACTCATTGGCATGGCGCGATCTCGTCCTCCCCGCGGCATTTCTCGGCTTCGGCTTCAGCGCCCGTCCCGACATCCCACGCCCGGGGTGAAGCACAGCCTCCGGCGAAACTCCTTCAGGACCGGGAGGCCCGCGCCCGGCGAGCGAAGAAAGCAAAATCCATTGGCTGAAAGTGGCTGCGGCTCAAAAAACCGGAAGCCCCAAAATGGACTAAGCCCTGGTAAGTGGAAACATGGGTGCCAACACCTGTGGTTTGCCTGGTGGTTTAATTTTGACCCACACCCAAATGAACCGTTGCTGTGAAGCAAGTTGTCAAGCAGTGTCTGCGCGATTACTGTTTAAGTTCCTCTGTTTAAGGGAACCTATCGCTACTGGAGGTATTTGCCTATTTTGTTCAGTGGACTTAATAAACTTAAGCAAATGGAAAACATGCTCCCATTGTTGGACCTGAGCAGTTTTGTTTGACGCCACCAGTCGATGGATCAATTTTTGAAGCGGATATTTGGCGACCCAGGATTGTCAGCAATCTTCCAAAAGGACGGCTGTGCAGCTCCATGCTAGCTGCACTGAGTATTGTGTTGCTTTATCGGTTGGTTTCAAAGACAAGCTATCACTGCTGGAGGTATGAGTGGTGTGTTCCAGGAACCTTGAGTTGAAAGCTGCACGGTTGCGTTGATTCAAGAAATGTTTCACCAGGGCCAGACACATATGACCTGAAACTGATCCGCTCGCTTGCAACACGCTGGCGACTCAACGTTTTGATGCTGTACAAATCTGGTGTGTAAAGCGGCAAACCGACCAAGATGTGCAGTTCCCACCCTTCCGCATTCTGAACCTAGCCCAGCTGGCTTGGCTGCTGACTTCACCATTGCTAGCTTAAAGAGTCTGCACATGTCACCAATCGCATGCTCTGTCATTGCTCGAGTGTTGTGAAGATCCTCTTTTGCTTAATCCGTCATGTTTTCACAGCCTTCGAATCCAAACTTGGCTTTTGAGAGCCTGGACTTTGAAGGGGGCCCAAATAAGTACAAACTTTGGTTTTATGGATTTGGGTCTGACAGGCAAGATAATTTGTGTCTTCGTATTGGACTCCCTTCGGGAGCTACGCAGGCATGCGTCCATTCAACATTGGCCATTCATACGGGCCACTTACAACACTTTTGTCAGATTTCGAGGATTCCTCTTTTTTCAGCGGGCTTGTGGATGTATTCTAGGATATTTCAGGAACCCATGAACTCATTCCTTTCCGAATCAAGGACCCCTTCGTTCTCCATGGCTTTTCGGCGGTTGGTTGCCGGTCGCACAAAAAGTGGGTTCAATGTCTCCGATGTTTCGATTCTTCCTCAGAGGGTTTTTTGGTACTCGTACCCCATAAGTTGTTGGTTTCTGACATGGTAGAAAACGGGCCATTTGTCAACAGCTTCATGAAGTCCGCACAGAAAAATGGTACCAAGTTGCCAAGGCACCCTCGGGGCTTGTTCTTTCAACAAGCTGAAGACTCACCTCACGCTTCATAGGTCCAATTCCCCAGTCGCCCAGTGGATTCCGCTTTTCTGCTTTGTCCCTTTCGGTTTGAGGGAGGGGTCTCCCAAAGTGGCCAAAGGGCGCCACTTGTTTTCCTCCTTCTGTTTTCTTGCATAATTAGCCGCTGTGCTGCTGAGAATGGTCATGCATTTTCATGAAACAACACTCTTCCAAATAGTAGGCGGACATCCAACAACTGCTTACTTCCTGATTTCCTGGACTTACTACTTGTTGGGAAGACCATTTTAGTGGTAAACAAAAGTTCAGACTTTTTCTGGCCAATCGACTCAGGAAGTCAGAATGTCCACCAAAGGGTTTTGCAATGAAGTAATGTCCACTTTGGAGGTGGTTCAACCTATAGAAATTCATAGCCATCCCCCCGTTCAACATTACATTCATGGCAAGCCATTTTCTCTACGGGGAACACGAAATCACTGGAATTGGGTCCGGACCTTAAAGCCCCCCAAGTGGGTCTGTCTGGTTTTAGGGGTGGCCAAAGTCGGTCGGTTTGGGTCGGGGGGGGGGGGACGGCCTGACTTCGGTCAGCGAGGATGGCGGAGAGTGGCGGCACCGGCCGCGGCTCAGCAGCAGCCTCCGTGGGCGGCGCTCGGACGCCCAAAAGTTCCGGATCGAACGAAGGGAGAGCCGGCTTCAGGAGGACTTAGATGGTCTGGAAGATAGCTAAGTGCTTAGTCAGCCTGGTTGTAACCCACTTAGCATGGTTGTAAGTAGGGTTACTAACCATTTAGCGATTCGTCCAAGACCGTCTAAGGGGAGGGGGGGGCGGTTCCAGGAGCCCAAATATCCATATTCCAGGTTGCCCCAATTTCCAGGTTCCGTGCTTATTTGGGCTCCCCCGCCCTCCCTCCCCCCCTTCGTGCCTTCCACTTCTGCATGCTGGCTGAGTAAAACAACTATTTTCAGGCGTTGGACAAAAACAGCAAGACTCCCACCACTCAAATGTAAGCGGCCCCTTCAAACGAGAAATGCCAAGTGTCAGACATGTGCCATGCCGTCTTTTGCCCATCTTCCGTTTAAATGGGAGGCCACTTAGCTGGGCGGCCCCAGAGTCCTCTCAGAGAATGACTAGGTCCCCCAGTCGTGCCCTTCTCTCCCCTTTTTTTGGGGAGGGCTCGTCTACTAAAATAGACTACAGAAAGAAGGGTACCCTTATTCTAACCTCTCTACTGGAGGACCTAGATGATTTTCTGCGTTCCATGTTCGTTTTCAGCGAAGCACTCAGAGAGAAAGGAAGCGTCAAGTTGATAAGTTCAAAGAACGATGAAGTGCAAAACATGTCACCAGATGCTCATGCAAATTGGGGCGAAGTTACCCACGACTTTTCCTTGCAGTTGCGGTCCAGGTGTGGAGGTATGCAGGTTCGATCAGGCATGCAGCGCAGTGGTTGTGCGTTCTGTGCCTGAGACCCGAGGCCCGAGGCTTGTCTTGCGATCGGTGCGATCTCAATAGGGAATGAGAAATCAAATGAACCCGGGGATTCCGAAACAACAGTTGGATGGTTTATAAGGGTCATTCCAATTTTTCATTGCCTGCCTAATTATCGCACCAGCAAGTTGTTTTGGTGTGATTGAAGAGGGCCGTGAACGGATCGGCTTTTTCAGACTGCCCTTACAACCAACACATGCAGCGCACTCGTGTCCCGACCGAACTGAGTCCCGCACTGCAGTGGCCCGACGATCGAACGCAAGGACTGTGAAGCCGGTTTTCGCATGCAAGGGTCAAGGATCTCTATAAACGCGATTTGTTGCCGACAGGGCAAGTCCATCCATCAACGCGTTGGATAAGCACCTTACCCATCTGCAAACGGAAACCAAGTGATGTGGAGCCCTGACCAGAGAGGCCCGTTGTCTGTGAGAGACTGGACTCTGAGGTTCCTCGAAGGTCCTGCCTCAAATTGGTGGATCCATCGAGCCGGAGGGGACCCCTTTCTGCAACGATGCCCAAAATGAAGTGCTAACCAAAAACGCAGGATTCGAATGATGCGCATGGTGGTTTTTGTTTGCCAGCCAGGGTATGGCCTTCAGATGTTATTGATCTAGAGCCACTTGCTGGCAGTTGCAAATCCCTGATCGCAAATTTGGTCGTAAGGATTTCACCTCCAACAGGATGTAACAAAGGGTTTCTGATCGCTTGCACCGGACAATCATGCGCTTTTCGCATCCGGTTTCGATCCCACATTTGCTCAAACCCATTCAATGGTTCACCCAGAAGGGCGTTATGACGTCCAAAAAGTCACTGTTAACGGTTGTGCCTTCCAACATCTCAGTTGTTCAGTGGCTCCCTTTTTCCTTTTTTTTTGTGGCTGCCCCACTAAAATGGTCCAAGCCCAAAAAAGGGTTCCAATTCTTTTATTTCCAGGGTCACTGAACAACTGAGACATGGTGGTTGAAACAACCACCAAGCGGTTCCTAATGTGTTTCCTTCAGATCCAACGGCAGGTGGGGGCTTGCTGGTTTGTTCCACGCTGGTTCCGGTGACCCCGAAGCCAGCACTCCAATCGCAGGTCACGAAGCCACCCGGAAAAAGGGAACCTGGTGGAGAGTCATCCAGGCTGCTCCAGACAGGCAAGTGAGAGCTCTCACTTTGCTCCTGGAGCCAAAGGAGCAACAGCAGCAACGACACCGCAACGACACCGGTATAGACAACGACACCGACTACCACCACAACAGCCGACGCCGACACTCGCAGCAGCAGCGGCGGGGGCAGCAGCAGCAGCAGCAGCAGCAGCAGCAGCAGCAGCAGCAGCAGCAGCAGCAGCAGCAGCAGCAGCAAGAACAGCAGCAGCAGCAGCAAGAACAGCAACAGCCACAACAAACATCTGGCAAGCAATGAGGAGTAGAACAGAAGGCTGTTGCAGGAACGATTGCATAATATATATATATATATATATGCCGCACCACCGATGTCAGCGTGTGTTGGGTTGTTTTGTTTTGAATATTTCAATGAACATGTTTGTCTTGTTGCGTTGCTTTGTTTTGTTTTGTTTGTTTGTACGTGCCTTCTTCGTTTATGCTGTACATGTCGGCTTGTTTGCTTGTGCGCGTGCCTGTGTCCCAGCCTGTGTGCGAATGTCTGCGCATGTGTGTGCGAGGGTCACATTTGGATTGCTCGACGACATCTGAGCCACAATCAAAACCCGGGTAGATGAAGATTAGTAAGGGACAGTCCCAGCCAGAAATAGCTGCGGCCGCCTTCTTATTTTTTTTACATGGTTCTGGGTCGACCATTTTTTATTCCGGGTTTTGGTTGTTGTTTCGAGCGCGAGCCCTTTTCCGCTTGCACAGGACAGGTGCTGCTGCCTCTGGGGCCAACAGTGGTAAAAAGGCAGGTGGAGGCAGGAGTGCGACTGGCCACTTTCAGGATTTCGTTTTTGTGGGGAATGATCTTACTGGCCTTTTGGGTTGTTGCGAATCGTGCCCTGTGTTGGGCCTCTATGCGTTTTCGGATCCAAGCCTAAGAAACAAAGTGAGATGCCCAGCTACAAAGACACCTGACCAAATGATTCTGGAATTGCGGCGGAAGAGGTACAGGTAATGTCGACCCTGATTAAGAAACCAGTTCTTTGTCAGGGCTATCCCTGCTACCCTTGATTAGTAAGACGTAGTTTAGACTAGTTTTTATGCCCTTTTTTTTCCGCGGAAAGTCATCAATTTAACCAAAAGGACAGCTGTGAGCCAAAAAAATAGACAAGTTTGTTTGCCCCATTTGCCAGGAAAGTAACCAAAAGGACACATGAGCTGAAAACAGTATTGATCAGGGGTCAGGATGCAGGACGTCAGCTCAGCTCAGGCTGGGTGACGCTGTCCATTTTTCCGGCTAAACTACTTTGCTAGCCAAAGTTGAACCAGAAAGGAGGAAAGAAAAGTGTACCTGAACCCTCAAACTCGCCATCTTAAGTTAATTCACCCCATAATGTTGGGGCAAACACCTACTAGGTCCCCCAGTAGTGCCCTCTTACCCTTTTTGCGAAGGTTCCCCTACTAAAATAGACGACAGAAAAAAAGGGTACCCTTATTCTAACGTCTCTACTGGAGAACCTAGCCTATTGTTTCAGGGACATGTTTCGGGTCCCTGTGCAAGGTATGGACATGGTACGGACTTAAGACGGCCATGCCGCGAAGAACTTCTGGATTCCAGCAGTGAATGATCTTCGGCTGACTTGCCGGGGAATGAACCCAGGGATTCCGATTCTTCAAAGAACCACCGGTTGGATGGTTTTTCTCGGGGTCATTCCATTTCTCATTCCCTGCATCTCTCGCAGGAATCGCCAGTTGGTTTGGTGGTTCAGCACCCCAGCCATTGATCATGGACTCCTTTGTTGAGAGAGGACTGATGGTTTGGGTAACGGATCTTTAGACTTTAACTTCTTGGTTGAAATCAAGTTGGGTTTTCCACTAGACCCACAAAAAAAATAGGCTTTTTGCAGAGGGGTCAACAGCAACCAAGGATTGAGGACTGATGGTTTGTGCATATTCTTTACACGAACTCCACTGAACTACCGTGGTGTACCTAGATTTCGTTCATTCAAGGCCCGGATCTTGAGTGCCGTTCTTGTCCTATGGCCGGGCTTCCACGGACTGACAGGGTCAGATCTGCCAGGTGGCATTTTGAAGTTCTACCAGGACGACTCTCCGGGCTTGAAAGTGGGACCCACCACGGTGACCTCGGGGGGATCGGCTTTTGGTTTTGGAATCCGCCCGCTTCCCTATACCATCCCTCCAACGATAATGGAAGCTGCAGAAGGGTTTTGGAAGACTACTTTCCTTTTCGAGGGACCCCCCGAAGTCCACTTCCATGATTTTTGGAAAGAGGGTTGATTCCCCATTCTTTTCAGCCATCGTTCTTTTCAAAAGCCGGCCTTTCCTCGGGATTTTGGTGGTGTTCCTGGGGAAGCTACCCCGAGAAAAATCTTTGGTGGCCTTTCTTGGGGCAACTCGATCGGAATTCCTTCCCTTGGACCCTTGGCGGTCAAACCGGAACGCCGGCTTTGGACAAAGAGGGCCTGGCGCAAGCGCGCCTTGAAAAGAGCCCAGAAGCCACGGCCTGAGTCCCGTAGTTGTAGCAAAGCGCGCAGAGTCCAAGCAGGGAGTGCTTGATGATTTGCCATGTGAGATTTCGTGGGGGAATCGTCACTTTTGGAGGGGAACACCCCGTCACTTCCACTTGCTACAGATGTCTTAAAAATCCCCCGATGGTTTTTGAAAGGTCATCCATCTCTGCTGGCGGTTTTTGTTTTTTTGTTTTTCCTGGGGACGATGTATCCGCAAAGGGTCCAATTAGGGATTCCTAAGGAACCCTAGGGCTGTCAACTACCCACCGCCTGGTACCTACCCCCCTTAGGGATTCCATGAAAAGGGCAATAAACAGGGTTGATTCATCCGGGGTGTACCTTGGAGCCCATCAGAACATCGGTTGAAGGGGTGGAAGGGGCTCGCGCTTTTCCCCTGGGGGGCATGTGCAAAAAAAAAAAAAACCAATCGCTGGAGACCCTTTGACGGAAATCCAGTTTCACTTTTAGCTGCCACTCTAAGGGAGTGCTTTTCCTTTTCTTGAGGAGTACCAGTTGGGGTGCGTGTTTTTTGTTGCTTAAACCTAAAACCTGCGCGATGGGATCGATGCAAAGACAGGTACTGGTTCTCTCTTTGGTCTTTATGGCGGTGGTTTGCTCTCTCCACATCCTGGGCAAGTTTCGCAGTGGCTGAGAGTCACGAGGCGCCTTCGGCCTTCGCGTTCTGGATGGGTTTGGAAGTTCCGGCGCAAAAGGTTTGCCCCTTAGCATGGCCGTAAGTCCCCTTTAACCAGGGTTATTAACCACTTAGCTAACTCCAAGACCATCTAAGTACCCTCAACCACTACCCCGCAGATATACCTATATATATACACACCTACACACCTATTTTATAGTGGCTGTATATCCCATTGAACTCCTGAAAGTCGTGTTTTGGGGGTAGTGCCATCTTAGAAACAACAAGTTTGGAGCATAGGTGTCCTTTTTGTTTGGGTTGCTTAAGAAATAGAGGGCCCTGGTTTAGATGGCTTATTCCATTTACCAGGGCCATGTATTTTCCAGAAGGCCACATGGTTTGGACACTCGTTTGCCTATCCAGAGAGGAAGTGAGATGAACACTCACACAGAGAATCGTTGGTCGCAAACGAACAAGGAGTGAGGGAGTGAGTGCGCAGGCAGGCCACATGAAGCCCACAGATCGCTTTGGTCGTGGTTTAGGCATTGGTAGGGTTCAAGTTGGTTTCGGTTTCGCTGGGTGGGGAAATCCGGGCTTGGTGGAGACTGGGTTTAGCGTTTTGAGTTTGAGCTTAGGGTTTGGGTTGTGAAGGGGTTGTGGATTCTGACGAGATTGTGGCCCATCTGTTGGTGCATAGAGTTTGTTGAGATGCGCCTACGGCTCTTGCAGCGGAACTGTCATGGAGCTGATACATCATCGGGGAACAAGGATCGACATGCCCGCATTGTGGTCACTCGGTTTGAGTCTGACATGTGAGCAACGGTTTATACTGACCCTTATTTCCCTCAGTTGTTCAGTGGCTCCCTTTTTCCTTTTTTTTTGGTGGCTGCTCCACTAAAATGGTCTTCCCAGAAAAGGGTTCCCTTTTGTTTTCCAGGGTCACTGAACAACTGAGTAGGCAATGGAGATTACTAACCCAGCTCCGATGTCAGTTGGGCACTTGATGGAGGGCACCCAGAGTGCAAGTTGATGGGCTAGTACTCCTTGTTGCTCAGCACCTGAAAGGGTTCCTGTCTTTCAGGATTTGCTTTGAGATACACCAGCTCAACTAGATGATGTTCTACTTGGCCTCCTCTTGTTCGGCACTTGAGGCCAGCAGCTAACGCAAGGCGTGGGGCATGGCAGAGCTTGGAGATGGGCGCGGTTTTTGAGTGGCTGAATCTCATCCGGCTCCTAGCCATGCGGTTCCTTAGCTTTTAGCCTTTCAGTGGTTAGTGGCTCAAAACCCGGGTAGATGAAGGTCAGTAAGGGACAATCCCAACCAAAAATAGCTGCAGCCGCCTTCTTTGTTCTTTACATGGCTCTGGGTGCACCATTTTAGTACCGGGTTTTGATTATGCCTCATGTAACCCACTAAAAGTTCTCAACTTTTAGCGGGGGATCTGAACTCGGGCAGCCCAGTGATGTGATTCGCGTCGCGTTCGAACCGTTGCCGCTGTGCCAGGGACGGGAAAGGTTTTGTGCAAGGCGCAAAGACACCAGTGGCGAAAGTCACAGTCAAAAGAGTTCGAGCGGCGGTCTGCACTTTGCGTGGGAGTGAGCAGACTCCAGTTTTCCCGACTGTCCAAGTGCCTGTGGAGTTCATGGTTTTGTGAGGTAGCAAAAGTTTTTTGTGTTTTTTTTGTGGGGGGGGAACCCACGAAAAAGGTGGTTGTCCTGTTGATTTCCCTGAAAACCACAAAACGAGGCGGCACCCTCAAAAACGATGCGCCAACAAGGCGTACCTTGGAAGGTATCAGGACCGCTGCAATTTGTGGCTCAGATTGGTCATTTGCAGCACTGAGAGGTCAGCGCACAGTGACTGGCTCCGTGTAATTCTCACCGAACAGCACTCTGGAGAGATGTCTTCAGTGTCTTACCGGACCTTTGCAGTCTTTGCTTCACTGGTTGGCGCTTTAGAAGCCTAAGTCTTTCACAGCGCCGGATACGTGTGGCGCATTCGCAAGCTTGGGCTTTTGGAGCCGCCTCTCCTCATGGCGAACGCAGGGGACTGAAGAAATGTTTTGTGTAGAGTCCGGGTTTTCCCTACAGGGCGATTTCCAACATCACTGTGTGCTTGTGAAATGAGGGACCAAAGGCGCGAAACTGGTTCTTTTCAGCTGCCATCTTGCGCAAAAGAAATCTTCAGTGTCGTTGGCATGTTTGTTTTTTTGGCTTTTAGGTTGGTTCTGTTCATGTTTCGGGAGGGGGCTGCCATACCAAGGGTAAAGACATTGAACACACCAAACCAACCCTAAACCAACCCTAAGCCAACCCTAAACCCACCTAAAGCTACCAAGCTGTTGAACGCTCCGAGCGCGTCCACTTGAACACCCGGCTGGACTGGAGCAGCTGCGCCTGGGCCATTTTTCAAAAGGAACACCAGAGAGGCAAGAAGAAAACAAGGGCGGCGCCATTCCTTCCATTTGGTTAAGAATATTTTTCTAATTGTTCCCCTGTTGATTTTCAAGGGAATCTATCACTACTAAACATATATATATATATATGTATATAGTTTTTCCAGGGGACTTAAGCAAATGGAGGATTCGGAGATATGCCATTGGCCAGCAACTAAAGAAATCAACGTTTCATAGTGATTCCATTTACCTGTATAGGCGAGCAAGGGAACCAGCCTTAAGCAAAAAGGGAACCATTCCTTACCTCTTAAAAACACAGCTTTTCACCTTTTTGGGTAACATGGGCTATATGTCTGTAAAAGATTAACTTCCCCAGGGCTTGGAGTTTTAAGGGGTAAGATTCACGGCAGCCGGGATTCAACCTCTAGGGGTATTTTCCCCATGCTTTTCAGCCATCGATCGTTTCAAAAGAACGCCATTTGTTGCAGGGTTTTTAAGGTGGTTTTCTAGCAACTTTTCGGATCCCAAAGAATGGAAATGGAAGCTTTTCGTAGAAAACCATGAGTTTCTTCCGCGAAGTCGCTGACGCGGAAGCAACCGACTCATGGTGACCTTCTTTTCTCAAAGTCCGAAGCCTTCGACAGCTTCTACCTTGGCTCATGTTGGTCTTACCCGGTTTGGCGATTGACCATATTGGGAGGGAAATAATCAGTTTGGGCACTTGTTTTGGCCAACCCGCTCGATCGGAAGTGAGCAAAAGGTTGCTCCAAAACGAAAATACATCGCAAGCCGCCCAAAACGCCCCCAAAAACCTACCAACTCGCCCGGTTTCCCTTGAAACCACAAAACAAAAACGCAAACAAATCACAGGTTACCCTTGAAACCACCCCAAACAAATTGACAACAGCTCGCCAAAACGCCGTTTTTTTAAGGAAGCGCTTCGACTCCGTGGCCTTTCCCTTTTGCGCCAGGACAAAGGGGACCGGCTGGGGCAGGCAGTTGCCATCGAGAAGAAGGCAAGCGGTGCAGGGCTGTGGGGACCTTCTGTTGCAATTCTCTTCCGTTTGCTGAAATGGCACTGGCTCAAAAACATGTACCAAAATGGCACCTTGGTAAATGGAACCAAAGACTAAAACCTGCCCACTGCGTAACCCTAGCTCATTAATTTTGAGCCATACCCAAATGGCTGTGGTTGTCAAAACCAATGGGATCCCATTTTGGGGTAGGTGAATTCACCACCCATTTTAGAACCAATTTCAGTGGGGAGGGATGTTCACTGGAGGCACGGGCTTTTGAGCAATGGCCAAATGAATATACTTTGTTATTTGTTCTCGTTGGTTTTAAAGGGAATCTATTTTTTTTTCAGCTATGTTTTTCTTGTTGGTTTTAAAGGGAACCGATTATGTTTGTTTATTTTTCCTTGTTGGTTTTAAAGGGAATCTATGAATACTGGAGTCGTTTGCTCATGTTTTCCGGGGGCGTAAGCAAATGGAAATTCTTTCCAGGGATCCTTCTTTCGAGAAAACTTCCGGACACCCAGGAAAAACAGCTGTTTGAACAGAATGATGGTTGGAAAAGATGGAGAATCAACCCCTAGAGCTGTTGTTGATAAGCCGCCTACCAGCTGCTGTGAAGTGCATGCTGTCCATCCACAGTATTAAAGAAATATTGCCAAACTCAACTGTAGGTCACTTCCTGGAAATGGATCCCACGACAGCAACACGTTTAACGCAAGGTCTTTTTTTGTTCTGGAAGCTGATAGCAAAAAGTCAATGCACAAATCGTATGTGTTGGAAGACGGTTTGCAGGGAAGAGGGTGGTTGTACTCTACGGGCGACCCATTTCCAGGTGCCCGGGTGTCCTTTATGCTCCCTCCTTGATTTGGAGACAAATGCGTCCAAAAGGTCCGCGTACATGTCAAGACACATGGGCTCGTCCTTTGTTGAGGAAGAAGCCAACATTCTAGGGTTCCTTGCCCCCATTACAAGAAAGGTTGAGCGATTTAGATGACAATCGTGTACATGTTCAGTAGGAGTCGTGCCATATCGACCCTGTGCGCAAGAAAAAAACTCTGCGCACGTAAGGCGGCGTAAGCAAGGTGGAGTAAGCAAAATGATACGACATAGCAAAACATGGCACGTTTAGGTCGTGGCTCAAATGGGCTTATCTTTGTTTGAGGGTGAAGCCAAAAGGAAGCCATACATGTTTGGGTCCCGTATTTTAAGCCACAGCCAAGTTGAGTGGCAAACATGATATGACAGGCTTGGACTTTGTTTGGCCAATCTCAGGAAGAGAGGTCCACTTGAAGAACAACATGAAACCGGGTAGTTGAAGGATTGTAAGGAGTCCCAGCCATAAACATGTGCAGCATTGGATTCTTGATCCGTGTATCGGGTTTGGACCTTGGAAGTATCTCGTGGAAAATTCGAGGGGCGTCCCTTTGGGTCACTCTTGCAAAATGCCAGTGACGATGGATGACAAGGCACGTGTTTTGTAGCCAAATGAGCGGTAGCGCACGGCATGTTCTTCCACAGCCAGCGTCGGCTTTTAGGGATATGGGCACGGCGCGCCGGCGCCGCCTTGCTCAAGGTACGGAAGATGTGGTGCACGGTTATCAACCGCCAGTTGAAAGCCAACTGAACCTGCGACGTGCAAGCGAATCAAGCCAACAGCTCAAGCCTGTGCCCTAACTTGATTTGGAGTCTTTGCCCAGATCAGCTCTGGGATGGGGAAGCTTTCAGGGAGGGTTCCAGAGGGTTGAGGGTTCCAGGGTTCCAGGGCTGTTGGGGACACCTGGGTTTATGTGTTTTTTCCTTGGCCTGATGACCTATGCATGAAGATCGAGTTCCGCCCGGTCGCTTGCCAACACCGCGCGCGCCTCAATGGAATGTCCATATACTGGCAAGCACCCGAGCGATCCGAGTGTGTCTTTTTTTGGCCACGCTTCCCAAGGAAATATATTGTGTTGTTCCTTTTGGTTTTTTACAGGAATACCACAAAGCCAGGGGCAACACAGACGCGCATGGGCGAATGTGGACCTTTGGCCAGCCGACTTCCCTGATTCGACTTGTGAGGTCGCTGCGACAGCAGTACCACAACTTTAAGCACGCGGACTCAGGAGACTAGCTCTTCCTCTAGGTCCCCCAGCTAGGTGCCTTCTCTCTCACCTTTTCTTTTTGGGGGTTGGGAGGGTTCCCCGACTACAAATAGACTACCTGCACCTTCATTTGAACACTTATTTTTGCTCGATGTGGTTTGGCACACTGCTTCTGGCCGACTGAACAAATATGAGCCGTACAGAAACCAGTTGGCACCCTTATTCTAACCTCTCTACTGGAGGGCCTCGTCCTCAGCACACACAGACCGCTGGTCGAGCCAGAAAAATAGATCAAGTCTGCGGCAAATTTAAAGCTCGCTTGCACCCTGCCGTCAACGAGTTTGAACCTGGAAGTTGATTCCTGAATGTATTTGTGCGCTGCAGCTGAAAGCTATGTCGATAGGCCAGCTGTGAAATAAATCGGAGCAGCTTTCAGGAAGGGTTCAAAAAGGCGGGCTCCAGGGATACCACCTGAGCTTCTTGTGTTTTGTGAAATGTTGAATCTTGATTCCAGCGTGCCCATGGGCCTATAAACCCTACTTTTGCCAAAGTCAGCTCGGGTGTTGGTCGCTCATTCGTGACAGCCAAGTCCAGTTAGTTGAGAGGCACCCTCTTTCCCTTTTGGTTTTGTGGTTTTTGTTTTGCCAAAGTTCGATTTGCCCAAACAACAACACGAGTCTCTCGTTCGGTCTCGTGCAAACGTGTGACTTTGGACAGGAAGAAAACATGTCAGCTCTGACCCTCAGGGTTCTCTCAAAGGG